AAAGAGGGGAAGAAGATGGATAAGAAAGGGAGATGGGTAAATTTGTAATTTTTTATTTTTTTATTAAGGTAAAATCGGTTTATGAGTTGGCAATGAGTTGGATGAGTTGGCGATGACGTGCCTTAAAAAAAATTTTCAAATCAGCTTTTTTTTTTAAAATTGTTTTTGCCATTTCATCAAAAAAATTATAAAAAAAATGCCACGTGTCGTAGTTAACGGTCTAAATTGACAGAAGGACTAACGGAGTGCATTTCTTAGAGTTGAGGGATCAAAAAAGTGCAAAAAATTGTTAAGAGACCAAAAATGTGCAACTCACTAAAGTTGAGGGACCAAATTTTGCATTTAACCAAAATAAAAGTGCCAAAGAATCCATGCTTTACTCTAATTCTACTGTCTAATTCTGTAGAGGACCAGACTTGCTTTGAAGGACATTCTATTGCTTTGCAGACTTGAAGTGTCTTTCTTTTCATCTTTTCAAGGTAAAATTTCATGAATTATTTGTTAAACTATTTTGAATCACATGCAAAGAATGAGATTAGCAATAGTTTATTTTAAAATTTTATGAATCTTTCAAATAATTTATGTCCCATGTCATAAGTCTAATATTTTTAATCCTTTATTCTGTTTTGTTTGGTTGGTGGGTGTGCATTACTTTTTTTGGATTGATTTTTGTTGGTTGGCCTTTACATTAACTGTCCATGGACGTTTGTTCGGAGGTGGGACTTAGACTATGTTTGGTAGTGGGACAGACCATATATCATGGGTTTTTTTAATTTTTATTATTTTTTCAAAAATTGGTGTTCTGTTAATACATGGAATTTTTAATTGATTGCACTTTACTTTCTATACTTCTCTAAGATGCGAGGAAAGACTAGGTTGAATAAATATTATGGTGGGGTTTTAGTGAGGTCCCCTGTGGTTGATTATATTGGAGGTAGCTTAATTAAAGATGATGAAGTAGACCCTGACTTCCTCTGTTATAAGGATATTGTTGATGAAATAAATAAAGTTTGCTCATATGGTATAGAGAGTATGTTTTATTCACTCCCAAACCAACCAACTTCAAACGTTTTAATGCCTTTAAACAATGATAGTGATATTCTGAAGATGGCTAAGCTATTGATTGCTCATGGAACAATGAATGTATTTGTTGTGCATTGTGGCAATTCAAAAATTTCAAATCAGTGCATTAATGAGTTTAGTGATGATGAAAATGATGATCTTGAATTTGATAATGAAGAAGATGCAGTCCTTTTTGATGTTGGTGTCATTAGTGATAATGATGATCTTGAGTTCTTGGGAGCAATTAACAACTCTCAAGGTAATTTATCAGTTTCTGTAAAGCCTATTTCTACAAGTCAAATATTTGTTGCAGTTGAATCTGATGCACCAAATGTTGTTAATAATCCAAGTGTTGGAAAAAGGGGTCCAGGAAATAGGGGGAAAAACTGAGCAAAAACAAAGAGGAAGAGGCTTAGTCAATTAAATCTTCCTGAAAACTTACTAGAAAATAGTGTTCCTTATGATCCCTTAGTTGATAGCCAAACTTTGACTGTTGGAGGTGGGGAGTCGGATTATATTGATAGTGATGATCCTGGAGAATATGATTCAAACAATTCTGAAGATTAATTTTCTATTAAAGAATATGTTGTTATAAGGAGAACAACTTGCCCAATTTATGTTAAAGGGAAAATAACAGATATTCCGGTGTTTGAGGTTGGTATGAAGTTTACTAATTGTGATGAGTTTAAAGAAGCCATTAGGACGTATGCTGTCTTGAAGGGTTGTGTTCTTGAATGGTTGAAGAATGATGCAACCTCTCAAAGGTTGCAATGCACAGGTCCTTTTTGCAAGTGGTAGATAAGTGCATCTTTTTCTAAGAAGGATGAGTGCTTTAGAATTGTTTTATATTCGAGGACTCACAATTGTATCAAGAAACAAGAGAATCATATGGCTAATGCAGTGTGGCTTGCTAGGTATTTGAAACCTAAAATAGACTCCAATCCAATGATTAAATTGAGGCAATTGAAGGATGCATGCAAGGAGGAGCTAAATTTAGTTGTTCAAACTACTATGATGAAGAGGGAAAAATCAATAGTTCTCAATGAGTTGGAAGGGAACTACAAGGAAGAGTATGCATGTTTAATGGGGTACAAAGCTGCCTTGGTTGAAAAAAACCGAGAGAACACTGTTGATGTGTTGTATGACACATACATTAACAATCCGAATCCTGTTTTCAAAAGCATATACATTTGTTTGGCTGCATGTAAAACAGGATGGATGGAAGGTTGTAGAAGAATTATTCGCATTGATGCATGTTTTTTGAAAGGTATGTGCGAAGGGGTGTTGTTGACAACAGTTGGTATAGATGGAAATAAGCAGATGTTTCCGATTGCATGGGCAGTTGTTAGTGGTGAATCTAATGAGACATGGGGCTGGTTTCTGCAGTTGCTTAGAAATGATTTAAATCTTGGACTTGGTGAGGGATTAGTTGTGATGTCTGACCAACATAAGGTAATAGTTTGTGGAAATTATTTATATTTTCATATTATGCTTTAATTATGTTTCTAATATTATTGACATTCTCTAATTGAAAATTTCAGGCCATTATATCTTCTGTGCATGCTTTACTTCCAGAGGCTAAGCACATATTTTGTGTTAAACACTTGTACGACAATTGGTCAAAGGAGCATTAAGGAGAAGAAGAAAAAAGAATGTTTTGGGCATGTGCCAAATCAACCTACATGGAGCAATTTGAGAAGAATTTCCAAAAACTTGCTGAAAAATGCCCTGAAGAATTTAATGACATTTCTCGTTTAACAAGTAATTTCTAGGTGAAGGCTTTCTTTGAAACTGATTGTAAGTGTGACATGGTTGATAATAATTTGTCTGAGGTGTTTAATGCATGGATTTTAGAAGCTAGGTGCAAAGCAATTTTAATAATGTTAGAAGAAATTAGACATATGGTTATGAATAGAATAAAAATAAAAAGAGCATCTGTTTCATCATGGAATAGGGACATTGCACCTAGAATTAAATCAATTTTGGAAGAAAATATTGAGGAAGGGTGCACCTGGAAGGCTCAAGGGAGTGGGACCGAGGAGTATGAAGTTTCAAAGGGTGATTTCAGATTTATTGTGAACATGAGTAGGAAGGAATGTACTTGTAGGGGGTGGAATCTTACAGGTATACCATGTTGTCATGCCATTTGTGTGATGTACTCATGTAATGTTAACATTGAAGATGGGGTTGCACATTGGTATAGAAAGTATACATACCTACAAGCATACAAATTCTCAATTGATTGTATAGAAGGATTAGAGACTTGGAAGCTACATAAAGGTTTGAAGCTAGATCCACCACCATTCAAGAAGGACAAAGGCAAACCCAAAGTGCAAAGGAGAAAACCAGCACATGAGACAGCAAAAGTTACAAGAGGAGATGAGGAAAAGCTTTCTAAAAAAGGTGTGCAAATGACTTGCTCTTGGTGTGGGTTTCAAGGACATAACAAGAGAGGATGCCCACGGAAAGATGATCCAACCTTCAAGAGAGATGTCCATGAGGTTAACTTTAGCACTGAGATCCTTGAGGCACTTTAGCACTGAGATCGAGTCTTCAATTTTATGCGAGTGAGGTAAATAAATTATGGTAACGCCCTTCGATTTTAAAAGTATATTTTAATTTGTTTTTGAAGTGGTGGCGGGACTAAACCCGTTTTATACAAAAATGAGCATGATTGATTTGAAATAAGATTATTATTCTTTTATTGATTTAAGCATGCCTGCTTGGAATTTATTTAACTACCCTGATGATCTGGAAATTATCTGTAAAGTATGATTTTTTGTTAACTTCTGCTTGTTTGGTTTCCGATATGGTCATGTTATTCGTGTGCTCGCTAATGGGAGGTTTATAAACGCTAGCACATGTCGACATGTTACTGATAGAACCGGTTCGTTTTTGTTATCCTGCTAGTGGGATTATACACTAGTAAATCGTGTGCCTGTCAGTGGGAGGTTTATAACACTGGCCATGACTTATAGAGGAGACGTCTATTTCGTTTCCGTACTCGTACCTGTTTTTCATGATTATACTGGTTGGCATGCTATAAGTATAATTAAGGCCTATCCATATTTACTTACTGAGTTATCTCATAGTTTTTCCTTGTCCACCACTTCAGGAAGCGAAGTTAAGGACAGGGAAAAACGAGGAGAGTGACGAGTTAGAGGGCTAGCCACCTGTAGTTTGATATAGATTTTAGATATAGATCATGATCTTGTAAGCTATATTTTAATTGGAGATTTTATAAATTCATTTAATGGATTGTTAGTTTACAAGAGATTTGACCTTGAGATTTTGAGCTTAAGTCAGGTTGGATATAGAATTATTTTGAAATATCTGATTTAAGTTATTGGATTGTCAGATGTGAATTGGATAAGTTCCGTGCCTTGTGCATTTGTGGGATCCTCTCACAAGTGTACGACATCTACCACGTCACTGGATTTGGGTTCTGGGGCGTGACAAGATCAGCGACCATCCCTAATTTCTACATAATTGGTTTGTTGGTCACCAGATCTGAGAAAACAAACAAAGAAAATAAGAAAATAGTAAAGAAAGAAATGGAAAGGACCCAAAAGAAACCGATAGACCACTCAAAGTGGTCATCGAACACCTGAGCACGACAAGTCAACTCTACCGTGCATGAGAAGTTGGAGGGCTTCCCAGCACCTAAAAGCTCGGGAAGCCAAAGACTTTCGAGCACCAAAAAACAAAAAAACCAAACTTGAGGAAGATATAGTTAGGAGGAGGAGACTTATAGAGAGAGAAAAACGAAGAAGCATTTTTTAAAGTAACTATTTTTGTTTAGTTTGAAATTTATAAACTATTATTAATTATTAATTTTAATCAAGTATATTAAATATTTTAAATAATAAAAAATTTTAATATTAAACATTAATTATACTTATATTTAAACAATTAATTTAAAAATTATTAAAAAATTATAAATTAATAAAATTATAATTATAATGAGTAAACTTAACAAAATCATGGGAGCGGAGCCCACTATGGAGGGGCGAAATGCGAATTTGCAATTTTGCTTTTCAATGCAACACTCAAATGACCGTGACCCTCGTAACCCCTACCTAACTGCACTTCCTGCACTTCACCTAGTTTTTTGGGTCTCTGCTCTTCACCTAGTTTCTCGGTCGCTGAACTTCACCTAGTTTTTCGGTCACTGCACTTCACCTA